CCCCCCCCCCCCCAGGCGGGGACGTGGCTCCCGACTACGACCGGGTTCTCCTGAGGGTCGCCCACATCTACGAGGAAGAGGACGACCCCGAGCTCTCCAGGCCGGTCGTCCTGGACCTGAAGGTACGCGAACGCAACACTCTCCCATGCGGCGGTTGGTTGTCTCTGTGTGTGACGGCCGGCTGTTTGTTGGGCAGGCGGCGCTGGCGGGCCTCGGCGAGGTGGAGGCCATGGAGGAGCGCTCGCTCACGGGGACCTGGGACGCCACCCGCCTGCGGAGGTGGAAGTGGAACACCGCAGAAGACCGGGAAGAAGGTGGGATTCTGATTTACGTCTGGATTTTTAGGTCCTTTTTTAACTTTTTTAAAGTTCTGTCTCCTCTCTTGCAGACTTGAGAAGGGGGGATGAAGGCAAAGAGTTCACGGTGACCATCTGGCCCAAACAGATCAGGACCTTCTTCGTCCACTTTGCCTCCAGGAAATCGTAGTCCCAGATGCCTCCTGTCTTCTGTGAAGACAACATCTCCTTAGATCTGACGAATGATTTACCACTTTGACACAACACTGATTGTCGCTCTTTTCGATCTTGTCGATATGCAAGAGGAAAAATAAAAAACATTGTTTTCTCGTTTTTGTTCAGATGTTAAGTGTCTTTTGTTGTTCTCAATTCTTTATTTACATCGTTATATATTTGTTTGTTGTTATTTCTTTATGACCAATCAAAAAAATTGATGATGAAGAGACAGTTTATTTTTGTTTTTTCAAATTATTTTTATTGAAACAAATGATAAGATAATACCAATAAGGGATACAGTTCACTTTTTTCTTTTTGGGGGGGGGATAAACATATACTTGTGCAGGTATAACTTCTAATATATACTGTACATACAAATATAAATGTTGAAGTAGTCACACCTACTACATATAGAAAAAACTAAAACAAAACAAAAGAAGAACAATAAAAGAAGAGAACAACACACCCCATTCCCACCCTGTCTCAGCCCAACATATTCAGCAGAAAAATAAGATAAATAATAATAATACTAATAAATTTTTTTTTTTTAAAAACATCAGCAAAGTACAGCAACAGGCACACATATTTAGTTAGGTAGGAGCTTCAAATCTGAAAAATAAGAAAGAAAACATTGCGAATAGACAGTTTTTTAACCAAATCCAAAATATGTGCCACTGCCTCAGAATTTTAAAATGTAACTAAATGAATAAAAACCATAAAAAAAATACGTCATCACTTTTTTTTCTAACATTTTCATCTTTATTTCTATTATGGATGCATATGTTTTTAGCATTTTTTATTGATTTTATGACTGAGCATCCATAAAAACGTTTCTCTTTGGGTCGTAACTGTGTGATTTAAATCCAGCATGCAGTTCCCCTGTATCACCACCGGTGGCGCTGTGATCCAAATCAAGGCTGAATAAACCGGTAGACGAGGAGACGACACCCAGCCCCCGGTCGGTCGGTCGGTTTGTTTGTTTGTCTGTGTCCTCTCGGGGGGGGGATGCTTTTAATATCGCAGCCTGGCACGTGACCGGCCGAGAGGAAGCGCGTGCC